TCACTGGTCAGCTTCCTATCACCGTACAGACAGTGTTTGTCCTCATTGAGATGGACACTTTGATGCTTCTTCCAGAATATGCAGATTTATGTAATGCCACATAACCATGCTTCTAACTAAAGATCACATTTCTTGGCAACAGGATTATAGCAAGAGAGGCTGATGTGCACACAAGTCATGGTTTAACCATCAACCAGAAACCACCGGCTTAATAAAACTGTGGAATGGTTTGCAGAACACTCAACCAATGGGCCCAGAAAAATAGTGGGTTTTTTCAAGATTCTCCTTAGCGTTTCACAAATAATTTAGTAAGTGAATGCTTTGCGCACATATAATTTCATATTTTTAATGATAGATCTATGGATAGATTCCTGCTGGATCAATGAGTAAATGCATATGTGATTTCACAAGCTATTTATTGCCCAATTTCCCACCACTGGGGTGTCCTGTCTTGCCTTCCATTGTCAAAGCGTGAGAAGGCCCACTCTCCCTCGGGCTCTGCACCTGGGCAGACTGTTTTCCAATCTGATATGAAAAAAAAAATAATGTCTTAGCTATTGAATATGGATGACACTGTACATAATGGATTGCATCATATGTAATGCAAAATGTATTCTAAACCTTCTAATTTTGCCCATTTTGGTGTTGTCAACTAAAAAAGTTCCTGATTTGTTTCTGACCAAATATATTTCCTATAATTTTACATTTCACATCCATCTCCTTAAAATGTCTCTTACACACAGCCTTCGGATTCACGTAACAGCGAGGAGGGCTGGACCTTGGATATGCGTGATTCATGGAGCACAGACACTATCAGGACACTCTCGGTCACTTGTCTGTGCTTTTCTCTGCTCTTCAGTGACATTCTCTCATGTCATAGCCCTCCTAGTGTCAGGAACCACACTGCTTGCTTCATCATGTACACATCAACTTGAGCTTTTTAAATTTAACAGATGCCCTGATTGACCCAACCTACTTTACAGCCCTACCTTCTGGACCAATGGACACTGGGCAGGAAGCAGAGAAGACCCTACGATTTGCAGCCTCTAAAATATGGCCTGCAGAAGATGATGGAAGTGCCAGGCAGGCAAAACAATAGATGCCCACCAGAACTGATTTGCTCTGCAATACCGCCAAGTGTTTTTTTTTAATTTATTATGGCTTCTTAGGCTTTGCTGTAGAGGTGGTCTTTACAAGGTTAGTTGAGCTTACAACAGGGTGACAAGCAGACAAGTAAACAGGAAAGTCTTGGGCACTCTTGGGACTGATTCAGTGGCTCCTTTTGGTGATCGGGATATACCACATCGTCCCCTGGGGCTCCTCAGGCCCTGAGATATAATTCTCTTCACTGAATCAGGATAAACCCATGAGCCTGACATAACCATCAAGAGCGAATGTTTCCGCACACTGGGGGCTCGTACTTGGCAGGGCATAAATGGAAACTTCCAGCATTCGTAAAGAAGAATAGAACACATCTCACTGGTGCAAAATGGGGAACAGAGCACATGGTATTTTTTTTCCCACAGTGTAAAATTGAAAATCATAAGAATTGATAGGCAAAGAAAGGTCTTTATGGGATATTCTTAGAGATAGCAAAAGTTTCCAAAAACTATGTACACTACATAGTTTCCAGGAAAAGAAATATTTTACATATTTCTAGTTGAAAAATTCATCTGCAAATGAAACACTGTTACTTCATTCTTTCTGTAGTATTAAGAGTATGTATAAATATCTCTTGAATCATGTTATAAATTATGTTTCTTTTTGAGGTAAATTATATAAAATATGTGTTCACTTAAAAAATAAATAGTGAGACAATGCTCGGTTTCCTGTCCTTCAGTTTTCTGTATGTCCAGAAACTGTCTGAATTATTTACTTTGGAAGAATTGGTTACTTTGTTAAATATAAATATGAATGTAAATTGTTGACCATCTTATGTCCAATAGATACAGAAAAATACAAACACAAGGACAGCATAATAAATAGGATTTGTCTATTTTTCAAAGAAATTGTTGCTGATGAAGATTATAAATTCACTATGGGAAATATCATTTTATTTAATATGCTTACAAATTAATTATATATTAAGACTAAAATAAAAATCTTTATGTTTATCACCTATTTGTATATCCGTATATCTCTCTGTGTCTTAATACTTACATATACGGGAGTATTGGTAAATCCTTCATTACAAATTATTACATAAATAGGGAACCAAAGGAGAAAATTACAGGTTGAGTCCTCTTTCTGCAAAATGAGTCAGTTATTCTGTGTCATTGAGGTTCTTTTTTTTATTGTCACAATATCCTCCTAGCTCTCATTACTTCTGGCATACACTTAAATCATTCTAACAAAAAGTTCCATATTGCTTAAAAGAGTTAAAAGCTTCTGTTGATTATTGTTTCTGTTTGTGATGTGCTTTTAAAATATTGCCTGGGTGGGAGGATGGAGACGGAGAGAGACTGAGTGGGGCAGAGGGCAAACGATGCAGTGTGTAGATGATGTCTTCTTGAGTGGTACACTTGAAACACGTATGGTTTGGCGAACCACTGTCACCCAATAAATTCAATAAAAAAGTAAAATGAAAAAATGTTAGCTAAAACAAAAAATTTAATAAATAAAACATTCCTGGAAAAAAAATAAAACCGTTTTTATAACTGGTACTTATCTCTGGAGGCTTACATCTTATGTTTATGACTTTTTTTCCCCAAAAGACTTTTGATTTTATTTTCCCCAAATTCAGAAAAATAGAACAATCTGGACAACAGAGTTGATTCACAGATGGGATGGTATAACTCCATTGCTGGGTCTCCTGGATGACATAATTGACTCTTGGCTAAGACAGGAGCAGTTTTGCCCTGACTGGTGTGGCTCAGTGGATTGAGTGCCAGCCTGTGAACCAAAGGGTTGCAGGTTCAATTCCCAGTCAGGATATGTGCCTGGGTTGTGGGCCAGGTCCCGGGTAGGGGGTGTCTGAGAGGCAACCACACACTGATGTTTTTCTCCCTCTCTTTCTCCCTCCCTTCCCTTCTCTAAAAACAAATAAATATATATATTTTTTAAAGGAGCTGTTTTATGCCAGTTGGTTAAAAGGTAAAACTCCCCTAGCAACCCTCCCCACGCCAAAGCCAGCTTTTTTTAACTGATTGATGGTGTGCTACTGACCAAACCAGTTCAGTTAGCTGGGCTTGACTACGTGACCAAAGAATCATGAAAATCTATGTTGTGAACATCATGTTTGTGTTCTAGCCTAAGCTAAGATATCGCACACCGATCTTGGTGGTTCAACCAGGACGCCTGGCATGTTCTGTGTGTAAATACGGCCCTGAGGAGCGTGAGCCGGGGAGGTCGTCTCTCCAACCGGTTACGCTTGCCCACACTGCCTTGCACGCTCTATCCTTCACCTCCAAATCAAAGCGTTTCCCGACCATACAGGATACAGAGTTTCAAGAGTCCTTTTGCAACCAGATGAAGGTCTGGCTGCCTGCTGCTTCGAAAACCAGTACTCAGGAGGCAGGTACCAAGGTAAAGAAAAGTATTTTCTTTCAGGTGCTGGCACGCCGGAAGATGGGGGTCTTTCATCTGAAAGTCCATCTGAGCGTCTCAGGCATCCTGGCTGGTTTATACAGGGGAGCCAGGGGACAAGGGGGCCTGAGTTATTTCTGGCGATGTGCAGGTGCTCAGTTCTGCTCTTAGGTTTCAGTGTTATCTCCTGCGTGCCTCCTCATGGAGGTTCATCTCTCCATCTGCCGTTCCACAGCTGATCTGTGGAAAAGGGACGTGCCTGTAGCGTTTCTGCCGGCTCACAGAGGAGCCCTGACGCTTATCCAGTTTCTTGGGGTCAGGGTCGTTCCTTGGTGAAGCAGGAGCTGCACCTACTGATGTCTATAAATACTTATAAGGAAACTTTTAATGCATGAATCTTCTATGAGTTTGTTTGTACAGCCTTTTCTGAATTATCACCTGATTAGTATATCATGTTTACCTCAATCATTGAATCACTAGAAAGACCACTAAGTACCACTAAGATTTATTTTTTAAATAAGTAAAAATAACCCTGGCTGGTGAAGCTCTGTGGATTGGGTGCGGGCTGCAAACCAGGCAGTTGCCAGTTCGATTCCCAGTCAGGGCACATGCCTGGATTGCAGGCCAGGTCCCCAGTAGGGGATGTGCAAGAGGCTACCATACATTGATATTTCCCTCCCTCTCTTTCTCCTTCCCTCCCCCTCTCTTCAAAAATAAATAAATAAAACCCTTTAAAAATAAAATAAGTAAAAATAATGTTTGCTTGGCATTCTCCAAAGTTTCATTAATTTGGAGCAATTGTACAAACTCTTTCATTCACCAAACTTAGACAAAAAGGGTGGGGGAGCTAGATAAGTAAAAAAGAAAGTTTGTCTTCTTGGGTAAAATATATGAACATAAATACATATAAATAATTGTGTGCTTTTCAGGTTAAAAGAAACACACCCATGTTTAAATAGAAGACTGGTGAAATTACTATGTTAAAAGATTTTTTTTTTTTGCTTCAGGAGTTTAGATTTAAATATTCTCGTCAATTGGAAACAATTATAGTGCATTTTATGAGATGAATGAAATGCCCTGGAGATAGGATATTGCCATAATGGCTTCTCCTTCACACATCACTATTGGCAGCTGTGACATTTTGAACCCAACAACGCTCCTCCTCTACCTTGATTATTTGACCTGTGTAAGCAAATGGTCTGTGCCTTGTCCACACTTTTAAATATTCTTGTCATATACCATGGGCTCAACTGGGCTGCACTGACCAAATGCTTATCTCCAGAACTGCATTGGGCATAACTGACCTTGACATCACTACGGAACCTATTCAGTTCTGTAACCATGAGTTGTTTGGGGGCATATGGAACAGCAATGTTTAGCATTAGTAATTCGGTTGATAACTTGCACCTGATGTGTGGAGGGTTGAGAGTTTAGGTGGATTGTGTAGCTGGAATATGCTTGGGTGACAAGCTCACCTTGAACAAGTTTGGGCTTCCTGGTCCCGAGGTGCTTCATACATATGGCCTAAAGGCAAAGAATATTCTAGAATATTGTAAGCACTCCACAAGTGGTAGAAGGGTAAGAATTCTTCACACCTGATTCCTCCCAATACACTTCCTTCTCCTGACATTGCCGTCTTATACTTGTCACCTGTAACATGTAAATTGAGTTCTGTGACTACTTTCAGTCATCAAACACTGAATCAAACATAGGAACACACCTTTTGAAAACCTCAATTTCATTGTGTCATTAACAGCTAATACTTAAACACAAAAACTAAAGCTTGTCAAGCAGTTATGCTTCTGCAGATTCACATTCCCTCCTGGCATATGAGCCTCTTCCAAAGGAAAAATCCCTTCAGATAATAGTTATCTGGGCCAGCCTGCCATAAATAGCACAAAATAAAAGAGCACATGTTGGTTGAACCAGTATTTTCTAGTAAGCTTTGATCACTCTTGGCTTATTTTTAGGGCAGATAAGGCTTTTTTTGTCAGACTTAGAAAAAGTTTACCTTTTACTAGAAAACTTTTATTGTCCTTATCATTAATCTTCAGAAAAATGTAGAGCAAACAAATTCTAAAACTAAAAATAATCAAAGTTCTCAGAGACTAGAATTTCCACATCCTAAGCCGTTCCCATTTGCTTTAATATCAGTGCTCCCTTTTATCAGCCAATAACAGACCACCCTGTGCATTTAGCAACTTCCCCCCTAGTCCTAGTCTCTTCCCTCTCTGCATCCTGAGATGAGGAAAATGCAAGTTATCTTGCAATATACAGGTACAAGCATGGTTTTCAACTTAATGATATGTAGTTTTATTAATGACCTGAAATCTAGAGGTCAGACTCTAAACACAATTCAAAAAAATTGAACATTATCAAAGTTAATTTTTTTGCTCCATGAAAGACATAGTGAAGAGAGTGAAAAAGCAAGCAACAGATAGAAAAACATTACAAACCATGTATCTAGTAAAGAACATGTACCAAAATGTACCAAGTATCGAAAATGTACCAAGAAATCTCAAAACTCAACACTAAGACAAACAACTGAATTGAAAAAATAGGCAAACTCCAAGAACAGGCACTTCACCAGGAAAAGATATAGGTGTCAAATAAATAGATGAAAAAAACGTTTAATGTCATTATTCACATGGGAAATGCAAATAAAAATAACCATGGGACACCATGACAAATCTGCAAGAATGACACAGTAAAAAAGTATAGACAACATGCCCTGGCTGGTGTGGCTCAGTGGATTGAGTGTGAATCGAAGGGTCACCAGTTGGATTCCCAGTCAGGGCATATGCCTGGATTGTGGACCAGGTCCCCAGCAGGGGGCGTGCAAAAGGCAACCACACATTGATATTTCTCATTCTTTCTCCTTCCCTCCCCCTCTCTCAAAGAGTAAATCGATAAAATCTTAAAAAAAAAACAGGGAGTGACTTCCAGGGTGTAAGGGGTGGTGGAGAGTGTGATTACAAAGAAATGGTATGAAGGCGTTCTGTGAGTAATAGAATGTTTCAGTATCCCAAGTGTGATGGTAGTCACACACATCCATACCTGTGCTCACATTCATAGAGCTAAAAAGTCAATAATAAAGAAACATTCTAGCCAACGTCTTAGCAGACAAAGGTGGACAGAGTGTTGGTTGGGTAGATTTACAAACGATGTTGAGGACTGCTACTGCCCATGATCCACACTGCCCCAACCTAGTGGGAATCACTGTGTCCACTGGCTGATTGTCTACAGGTCAGCAAGCATGAATTTCCTAGAGACAGGGCAAGTCGATTACAGACAAACCCCAGGACATTTTCTTCATGTTGACTGCTGTTACCTTTACATACAGCACAGTCCTTTAGAGCAGGAATTTTTAACTGGTATGTTGCAAGAATTTTTTATAATTTAGTCATTTTTTTAATTATTCGAATACAGTTGACATACATTACTATATTAGTTTCAGGTGTATACCCCAGTGATCACACATTAATAACTCAGTAAGCGATCATTCTGATAAGTCTTGCACACATCTGACACCATATAGAGTTATTTAACTATTATTGACTATGTTCCATATGCTGTACTTTACATCCCCATAACTATTCTGTAACCACCAATTCATACCTCTTAATCCCTTTATCATGTTCACTCATCCTCCAATGCTCTTACCTACCTGGCAACTGTCAAAATGTCCTCTGTATCTATGAGTCTGTTTCTGTTTTGTTTGTTCATTTATTTTGTTTATTTTAGATTCAGTCATTGATAGATTCGCATTTATTGTGATTTTATTGGTCACTTTTTATCCTTTTTCTTCTCCTCCTCCTTCTTCCACTTCTTCAGGAAGGCCCCTTAACATGTTATATAATATTGGTTTGGTGGTGATGAACTCCTTTAGTTTTTTTCTTTTTAATGTGAAACCTTTATGTGTCCTTGGACACTAAATGATAGCTCTTCTGGATGGAGTAATCTTGGTTGTAGGTCATTGCATTTCATCACTTGGAATATTTCTTGCCAGTCCCTTCTGGCCTGCAAAGTTTCTGTTGAGAAATCAGCTGAGAATCTTATGGGAGCTCCCTTATAGGAAACAAACTGCTTTTCTCTTGCTGCTTTTAAGAATCTCTCTCTGTCCTTAACATGCTGGGTTCCTTTTGTTGGTTGTTTTAATTACTCTTAATCTTTATTGTACTTTTTAACATTACCTCTCACTCCCCTTACATTCCCCTCCCCTAGCAATTACCACACACATTTTGCATTTTAATTATGATGTGTCTTGGTGTAGGCCTCTTTGGATTCATCTTGTTTGGGACTGTTCGTGCTTCCTGGACTTGGGTGTCTATTTCCTTCACCAAGTTAAGGAAGTTTACTGTCATTATTTTTTCAAATAGGTTTCCAATTTCTTGCTCTTTCTCTTCTTCTAGCACCAATGATCTAAATATTTGTATGTTTGAATTTGTCCCAGAGGCTGCTTATAATATCCTCATTTTTGTTTTTGGATTATTTTCTTCTTGCTGTTCTGATTGAATGTTTTTTGCTTTCTCTTCCAAATCTCTGATAGGATCCTCTGGTTCATCTATTATACTGTTTATGCCCTATAATATATTCTCATTTCAGTTAGAATATTATTCATTTCTGACTGGTTCTTTTTATGTTTTCTATCTCTGTTTTTATGTTTCCTATCTCCTTGTTGATGTTCTCACTAGTTCATCTACTCTTCCCCTAAGTTCATTGAGCATCCTTATAACCCGTGTTTTGAACTTTGCATCTAGTCAATTGCTTGTCTCCATTTTATTTAGTTCTCCTTTTGGAGTTTTGTTCTTTCATTTGGGACGTTTCTTTATCTCTTCATTTTAGCAGCCTTCCTGTTTCTTTTTCTATATTAGCTAGAGCTGCTACATCTTTTGGGCTTAGTAAAGTGGCCTAATATAGTAGATATTCTGTAGGTCTGGTGCCACAGCCCCCCCATCACCCATGCTGGCTATTTGAGGTACACCTCACCCCTCGTGGGTTGTGTACACCCTCCTTTTATAGTTGAGTCTTGATTGCTGTTGGCACACTGATGGGAGGGATTTACCCCCAAGCTGATCATCTGCAAGGACTGGCCATGACCACTAACTTTTGACCACCATGGAGGGTCAGCTGTGGAAGGCCTAGCCACAGAGCAGGACTTACTTCAGTGTGGCTCTGGTGGCCACTGAGTCTGCCCCTGGAGATTGTTGCTTGTGGAGGTGATTGGGTAGTAGTGTTTCACTGTGATCTGAATCTGTCCACTAGATGTGCTGGCTCTGAGGCCTCTTGAAATGTACAAGCCAAGGTCACCCACTACCTGTGTTCTTCCAGGGACCACCCAGCTTAAGCTATAAGGCAATCTGCAGGTGGCTACTGTTTGTGCTGGGCTTGGAGGTGCCCAGGCAAGGCCAAAATGTGAACCAAGGATGGTTGCTACTAGTGCCAGGCCTGGGGCCTCTTAGCAAGAGGTACAGGGCACACTAAGGCCAGAGGCTACTTGTTTGAGAGATTTTAGGAAAATCTGAATCATGAGCCAAGACAGGATGGAGTCTCAAATATGGCACCTGCCTGCCAGCTCTGTGGATGGAGGGCCCATCAAAGGAACAATAGCCTCTTCCAGCACTTCTGTCTGAGAGAAAGCTACCCTCGTCCTCGTTTTCATCCTGGTGCTGAACAATTTAATTCCTTCCTCTATGTCTCTGGTGCCTTTCAAGCTGCTGCCCCAGAACTGGAGCTCAGAGGGAGTAAATCCAAGTAAGTCTACGTGTAGGCGCTTGAAAAGGAACTGCCTGGGACTCCAGCCAACCTCCACCTCTCTCAGCCTCAATCTTCACTGTGCTTTTATTTTTCAATCCTCACCCAAGGACATTTTTTCATTGCTTTTTAGAAAGAGAGGAAAGGACAAAGAGGGGAAAGGAGAAAGAGAAATATTGATGGGAAAGAGAATCTTCCATCATTTTCCTCCCATACACACTTGGACTGGAGACTGAGCCTACAGCCTAGGCATGTGCCCTGACTGGAAATTGTACCTGCAACCTTTTTGTTATGGGGCAATGCTTCCATCAACTGAGACACACTGGTCAAGGCCCCACTGATTTTTACAGTCAGAAGTTATGGTGACTTTTCTGGAACCCTGGGTAGGAGGGTCTGGTGTGGGGCTGGAGCCACTTACTCCCTGGAGGGGGACATGTGCAGCTGAGATATCCTTCCCAATTTTTCTCCACCATACCTATGGGTGTGAAACAAGCCCATTCCATGTCTCTGCCCCTCCTACCAGTCTCAGTGTGGCTTCTTCTTTAATTCCCTGCTTGTAGGACTTCCATTCAGCTGGATTGTGGGCAGTTCTGAATGATGGTTGTTCTGTGGTGTACACGTAATTCTGACATGGTTGCAGGGGGAGGTGAGTACCATGTTTACCTAGGCTGCCATCTTGACCAGAACTCTGAAAGACTTCTTTAAAAGCATGTAATGTCTGACTTTTAGTCAGAGACACTGACTTGGGTTGTGAAATTAAAAAAAAAAAAATGACAATAGCCATCACAGCAATAACTGTCTGGTGTGAATGAATCAAAATTATTCCTATTTTTGTCAGATCAGCAAAAAAATATATTTTTGGTGTGCCACAGAATTTTAGTAATTAGTTTATGGGTGCCATGAGATAAAAAGGTTGAAAATTACTGCTCTAGAGAAAGACTATAGGAAACAATTGTTAATTGTTTCCCTAAATGCTACTTCTTTTCATTTTCTTAATGATATCTGGGGTCTTCCCAGGAGGGATTAACTCTGACTCCACGTATAGAAATGGCTTCTAATTCTCTGAAGCCAGTCAAACCAGTCTTTTATTTCCTTGGACCACTATGAGGAATTTAAGTGATAATCATTCAACCAAGAGAGTCAATTGAGGCAAAAAAAAAAAAAAAAAAAAAAAAGACTCCTCTCCTGGATTATTGTTGAGCTACAGAGGAAAGTCTCCTTTCTGTTGGGTTTGAACCTAGAACAGAGCCACCTCAGGGACTGGTCACTACCTTTGATGAGACGGGGAGTGTTATCTGAGAGAGCTAGGAGGCAAAGAGAAGAACTGGAGAGCGAGGAACTGGTCCCTGGCCCTGTAACAGGGTGCAGCCGGGAGGGGAGGAGGGAGCCCAAATAGAGATTCGGAAAGGGGTCCAGAATTCAAGGTATCCAGGAAATATTAGAATGTCTTCACCCCCTTCCCCACCACAGGTGTGAGTTGGGGGAAGGGACAAATGGAGCAGGGCCATTAAGAGCTGTTTTGTATAGCAACAGCTTTGTAGTTAACCTCCGGCATGGTCATTTAACATGTCTATAACCTTTAACTGGTTGCATATATATGTTAAATAGCTGTGGCCATGCTTTGAGCCAGGGAGAAGGGAGTGACTTCCACCCAAGACTTAACTGGGTAGAAGGCAACTGGAAGGTAACTCCCCCTGGTTACAGCGCCTGCGTGAGAGCTTGGAGATAATTGGCTCCATGCCATGGGGCCACACCTGCCCAGACTCATGATGGCAGACCAGTAGAGCTAGAAGGATAGGGAGTGCTGGCAGGCGTAGCTGATTGGGAGAGGAGTCAGAAATGTGGCTGCAGAGGAAGATTGGCACAGGAATTTAAACCCAGGTGCGGCAGCCATTGAGGAGAGAACCACGCGGCTTTGGCAGAGTGGAGACATCCCCACAGCTTTGGTGAAGAGAAAATCTCGCAGCTGCTGAGAGCCTGAATCCCAGACGTTTGCTTCTTTTCCTGAGATACGGTACCTTGAATTAGGGCAGGGGGAGAAGGAAGCACTGTGGGCATCTATAGGTATCCAAAAAGACTTTGATATTTTAATGAAGACATTAGGTCACTACTTTAAGTCTACATAGCCTTAAATAAACATTTTGTTTCCTTTCCACAAATCTCTGGCATTGAGAGACGTCTTTCCTCTGGCGGTAGACAAACGAACCCATTGGGGGGTCCTTTCGGTAATAGTATATCCCACCCCCTTGATCCCCGTGTTCTGTTACAGCCCTATTGTCTTTCCTCTAGCCCAGTGTTTCCCCAGTTTAATTAGGTGATAAAAATCCCAGGCCTCTTCCCTGTCCTCTGCATCAGAATTTCCAGGGAAGTCCTGGAAAACCACTCCAGTCTCACCTGAGGCTGGCCCTAATATTGAAGTTTTCAGGAATATGAACCAGTAAATTCCCTTTATAGTTTAAGAATATTTGAGATGGACTTGTTACTTACCAACAAGAGCATTGTAACTGATAGAACCCAGCTTGATTTGTTTCCTTTTGGTTTTTTCCCCACCTTTTCTCTGAAGAAAGGTAAGCATAAACTCTCAACGAGTGAGTTATATGTCTCCGATAAAGTTCAAAAGACAATCTCAGTTAGGATTTCCAGGACAACATGGAAGAAAACAGGTTGAGAAACAGATCTGTCAATCTGTCTTCCCTCCCACTGCTCCTCCCTCTGACCCCCGTTTCTTTCATTAAACAGACCTAGGACACTTGTTCAAAAAGCGTGTAGAATCACTCCTAGAAATCTGAAGTTCCAGGCTCTCTGCCAAATGGACCTCAGTGCAGCCGATCACCGCATACCTCTCAGTGATGGGAACAGCATTCCTATCATCGGGCTTGGTACCTACTCAGATCCTAAGTTGGTAAGTGTGTCTGTCTATTTGCTTTTTCTTATATGAAACTTTCCTAAAGCATAATCTGCAGTTCATTTTGAGTGGATCTCATTGATTTTCTTCTTTCGTAATAATGAAAGCAACCTCCAAGAGCTCATGTTTGGCTGAATGAGTATTGCGCAAATATTAAACTAAATCGGTTTATGATTTTAAATGATCTTGGATTAGAGGAAGAAACCTTTCTGCTTTCTTTGCTAACATGCAGCTGGATGTTTATTATTTGATTGATCCCCAGCATGTGAAATTACGGAGTTTATGGCCTGTAATTTTTTTTAAGTTCATATTTGAAGATTTTTAGTTCAGTCTAACAAACATATAGTGAAAACCTACCATGTATGAAGTACTAAGATCCAGAAGTTTCAAATATAAAGAGAATAGTTTCTGCTACCTAGGGATTAAAAATCTAATAGAAGAGACACACTTTCTAATAACTAACTACTGAAAAATGAAGTGGAGAGTAAATGATACAAACAGCATCTCTCAGAAAACACCAATTTGTATTTTATAATCCCTTCTTTTTTTTCACCCAGCAACCCCCTTCCTAACTATCAACTCTCTGTTTGTTCTCTGTGTCTGTGGGTCTGCTTCTGTTTTATTTGTTTATTTTGTTCTTTAGAGTCTATTTAGAAATGAAATCGCAGGGTATTTGCCTTCATCTGATTTAGTTCACTTAGCAAAAATACCCTCTAGATAAGCAATTTTCAACCCTTTTCATCTCAAGGTACACATGAACTAATTACTAAAATTCTGCACGCACCAAAAATTATGTTTTTTGCCAATGTGAAAAATATAGGTATAATTTTGATTCATTCACACCAACAGCTATTGTTGTATAGGCTGCTGTCATTATTTTCATTTGACAACCCAAGGGAAAAGAGGTCAGTGCCCCTGACAAAACAGGTTTTGCATATTTTAAAAATTCTTGTGACACACCAGTTGAAAATTGCTGCTCCAGGCTCATGCTGTAGCAGATGGTAAGATTTTATTCTTTTTTATGGCCAAGTGATAGTTCATTGTGTAAATATACCAGTGCTTTTTTACCCACTCATCCATTGGTGAGCACTTGGGTTGCTTCTATATCTTGGCTATTGTATATGAAGCTACAATGAATATATGGGTGCATATATTTGTTTGAACTGGTGTTTTGTGTTTCTTCAGATATATTCCCAAATGTGGAATCACTGGGTCAGGGAATAATTACATGTGACCATGGAAAGTGAAGTGGGTTTCCATTAAAACATGATAAAGTTTCTACTTAAATCTTTCTGCTGTTCTCATTGTAATTCGACACTTGATACTGATTACCAAAATAAAAAGTGGTATATGCAGAAATGCTCCTGAAATTTGAGTGATCATGAATGAGTGAACTCTGGACAGCTGTGAACGAGTTTATCAGGCAAAGACGCAGAGCTGAGGCCAGGTGTTTTAGGCATAAAGGAAGTACGGAGGCAGGAGATGTATGACATGTCCAGGAAAGGCCAAGTCCACAATGGCTGACACATGGAATTAGAGGTGGAGGTGATGGCAACTGGATCTGGAAGTGCAAGTTGAGACTGGATTATAGAAGAGGAGGAATTGTTTCAAGTTTAGGAACAGAGGGATAGCATCATCAGATCAGTGTTTTTGAAAGATAACTCTGGGGTAGCATGGAGAGTGGAGGAGAGAGGAAGAAAACCGAACTACAGATGCGGAGAGCAGTTAATAACACTTGTACCACAATCCCACATTCCATGTCAGTTGCCACTGTTTTGGTAATGCCAAGGAAAGTCACTGTTGGCACAATTCTGAGTCTGGTCATCGACCCCTTCCTGTTCTTACTTGGCCCATTGTCTCTGTATGACCTCATTCATTATCTCTGCTGCAAGCACATAAATGCAGAGACTCCTACATCTGTATTTCCTATTCTGTTTATTATAGCTCCTTGTACAACTGGGCACTGGCTATGACAGGACCTCCTGGGACATTTTTGAAAACTACGGATCCTTAGGCTTCACCTTGGGTGGACAGAATCTGGATCTCTAGGGATAGAGCCCAAGAATCTGCATTTAACATGTTCCTTGGATAATTCTGCTGTACAATCAAATAGGCACTCCAACCTCCACAGGCCCCTCTAAGTCAACATAGCTAAATATACTCATCAACTCTCCTTCCCTTCAAAATACTCCTTCTCCTAGCAAACAGCACCATCGCCAGCCATGCAAGCTAGAAATCTAAGTGTATTTCCTCATTCTGCCCTCTTCCTCACTTCTCTGCATTGCATGCTAATGGTCGCTAAATAACTATTGAATTTATTTCAGAAATATCTCCTCATTTCACAGCCTGCTCGTTATCCATTGTCACTTGCCTTAGTTTAGGCCCATAATTTATCTTTGGGCTATCCTTCCAATTTTGTTCCCTTCCAGTGAATTATCCAAAGTGGGGCTCTCGGGAGCTTCCTCGGGCCCAAATCTGATCACAGCACTCTGCTGTTTAATCATTTCAGTGGCTCCCTACCAATTACAGTGTGAAGTCCACACCCCTTACCTTGCACACTGGGCCTTTATGGTTCAGTCCAGACCCACCTGTGCAGCAGCACCTACCACCACTCTTCAACCTCTCCCTACGTGGAAAATACAATAACCTAAGTTCTTCGAACATCATCCTCATCTCCATGCCTTTGGACGTGCTGCCTTCTACCTGGAACCTCCTTTCTCCTCATTTGTTCACTCGACTAACTTCTGCTCTACCTTCCAGACACAGCTCAAGGATCTCTCTCCTTAGAAGCCCCCGTCCCAGCCCCCACAACTTGCCCCTTCTGCGTGTTCACATAGCTTCTTGCACTCGACTGTATTGTAGCACTTAGTGTACTATATTGTAATTGTTGTCCCTCTACAATCTTGCCACAAGACTGTGAAATTCATCAGAAAGAGATAATGTCTTGTTTAGCTCTCTATTCCCAGCATGTTGTCTAGTAGGTAATGGGTGTTCAGCTGATGCTTGTCCACTTAGTGAATGAGTTTCCAAAAGCAGATGCATACGTCCGTGAGCATCAGAGGACACAGAGATGCAAATGGACACAATAATAATAGCTAAATTTGGGGGGACGCTCAATTATGTGCCTGGAATTCTTTTAAGTGCTTCACATTACATGCATTTTCTAATTTAATTCTCACAATATTTGAAAGAAATACCATTTAACTAAATTTTATAGATGAAAAAACAGGGGTTAAATAAATTGCCCCAAACTTATAATGGGGTCCCTGCTAAGGGACAGAGCAGGGATTTTAACCAATGTAGTTTGGGTTCAGATCTTATGCTTTAATCCCTATATTATATTGATTGTTATGACTATATCTTGTATTAATGAAGCTGCATATTTCTCATGGTGAATTTCTGTGTACATTTCTGTATAAGAAAGTATGTAGGAACATATGCCCGGCAGTATATATCCTAGGATATATAAGTGCTATGGGTTAAAAACATTTAAAAGCATTCATGGGCTATTTCCCAAAAAGAGCTGTACCTTAACTTTGCGAGATATGATATACAACAATCAAAGAATGTGACTTGAAAGGAACTCTGTTGGAAGTGATCATGTGTGCCCAAACCACATTTGTGATCTGAAATGCTATCAATTGCAAAATAATGTATGGAGTTAACAGTATGTCTCACAAAATCAGAAACTCTAATGTGAAGAAAAATACACAACATGTGTCCGACAGATCTTGGATAGGGGAAGAGGCAGAACTAGAATAAAGGGTGGGGGGCGAGGGAAATAGAGGGAATGGCGTATCTCAAATAGAGCAGACTCGTGGCTTTCTGCTCCCAGCCAAACAACTGCAAACTGCTTTATCATCTACCCAGGGCTGATGAGGCAGAGGCTTAGAACCACCTGTCCCCAACCTGGTCACCCTGAAGCAAAAGTACTAATTTAGATTTAACCTCAGAATCAGTCTTATTTCTGGAGATAAAGGCCGATGCCAAAACTTAGTCTTCTCTACTTCACATGCCCAAGAGTCTTCAAAACCTTTCACTCCACAAGAGATACAAGGTGAATGCCAAGTTCAGGTAACTCTTTAACTGGAACTCATTTGCACTTTGTGTACATAGTGAATCCAGTCAATATTTTTCCTGGAATCCTATTCAGTTGTGATATAAAAGTTGGAGAGCAGTTTGACCCCATGTGAAAAATTAAGCATGTCTTCAGTGGAGGATGGGGTCAGACCAGAGATGGGAGGCTAAAATAAGGAGACTAACACCGTCTCTTCCAACTCCCGTCTGGTCGAGGTCCCACTGGAACACATGGAGATAGGAACCGTGGGGAAGCAGCTCGGGAAAGCAGTTCTATGGAGCCACATGAGGCTGACCAACCCATGTTTTCCTGACGTGCAAAGCCTTTCTTTCTCCTCTCTCAACATGCCCAACTTTCTTGGAAAGGTGCTTCATGCCTGTGAATTCAGGAAATGTGAGATGAACCAAGATTAGTAGCACTAAGCACTCTGTGTATTACCTCACCTAATAGTCACTAACAAAAAACCTCAAGTGCATAAATTATCTACGTGATCTTTCTCTATGAAAGCTTTCCAGAATGCTCTCATACAGGGATGAAGAAGTCTATAACAGCCTCCCAACACATCTCCCTTTTTTCTAGCTTTTTCCCCACAACTCCACCTGGTAAGTCCCATCAGTGACAGTCTTGAGTCTTGTTCCTTTTTCTTTGTTTTTTGCTTTGACAGAAACTAATGCACTTTGTACCAGTATCAGCTCATAGAGTTAGTAGCTAATATGAATCAAAAACTTCAAGTGAAACCCAAGAACATCACCGGGTGTGCAAATGACACAAATCTAGGATCAATGGCAACCATTTGGGAAAATTGCCAATGATTCAGTTCAAAAAATATTTATTGTGTGCCTACCACACGTGAGGCATTTTTGTACATGTACAGGAATCAAAACAATGGGCTATGAACAAGGCATTTAAAATCTGTGAC